ATTATTTACTGTTAGGGGCCTCCCTGGTGGTGCAAGGGGTTAAGATACAGCCTATGAAGCTATTCACAGCCACTGCAGCATGAGTTTGATCCCCTGCCAGGGAGCAACCCACATGGCGCAGCAGACCTCTCCTGTCTCACCCGCTGCTCCCCTCAGCAGTGTATTTCGGCCCATCTACCTTTTCTGTTTCCATTCTGTCTCTGGTGAATCCTCTCACCCCCCACACCTCCGGCCTGTACCCCAGTTCTTGGTTACATAAATAAATACATCTTTTTAAAATTTATTAACTGTTAGGGAAATACAAATTAAAATCATGTGAGATATGACCACATAGATATTATAATGGCTAAACAACAAAAGATGATACCAAGTGCTGATGAATATGTGGAGCACCTGGAACATTCTTCCATTGCTGGTGGGAATGTAAAATGGTGCAGTCACTCTGAAAAAGTTTGGCAGTTTCCTTCAAAGGTAAAATATAGCTACCATAAATATATAGTCAGCTTCAGCTGCCACAATAAAATACCCTAGACTGGGTAGTTGGGAATTCCAAGAGCAAGGTACTAGCTGATTCAGTTACCAGGTGAGGGCTCTTTTCCTGGCTTCCAGATGACTACCTTCTTTTTGTTTGCACATGAATTTAGGGGTGGGGACAAACATTTGGGCTATAACTTTATGTGATCCAGAAAGACAAACGTATATTCACATAAACACCTGTCCGTGAATATTTACAGTAACTCTATTCATAATCACCCAGATTCAGAAATAACTGAAAAGTCCTTAAACAGTGGGATGGGTAAACTCTGATACCTACAGTAAAATAGTACTCAGCAATTCAGGGAAATGAACTTTTGAGACATGTAGCAACATAGATGAAACCTCAAAGGCATTATGAGGAATGAAAGGTTACATACTTTATGATTCCATTTACATTACTTTTTAGAAAAGTCAAAGCTATTTTGGTGGATTATAAATCAATGGTCAATGGGGTACATTGTGAGTACCCCATTGTGAGTACACCTTAAGGGATTTTTATGGGATGATGGAACTATTTTGCATCATGATTTTAGTGACAGTTTCAGAAATCTATACACGTGTTAAAACTCATAAAGCCATTTTACTGTATATTAAAATTTCAAAAAGAACTCCATGAAATAGAGAACAAATAATAGATTAAATAAGGAAAGCCAAAAATCAATTATTTGAAAGATAAAATTGACAAATTGCCAATAAATTTGACAACTTATATAAATTAGATAAATTTCTTGAAAGACACAAATTACTTCTTACGTTTCATTGACTAGAACTGAATCATATGATCATCCCTCATTGCCAGGGAGGCAAAGTTAGTATATGGCAAAAGTAAACAGAGTGGTTATGGATAGCTTAGTGCAATCTACAACTTATTATCTATGACTGGACACACTGTCGTCCCTGCAAATAAAAACAATTGGGGGCTCATTAGAAATAAGGGGGAATGCTTAATGTAGTGTTAACAATGCTTGCCACAGGTTTTTAGTCACTCAAAAGACTCCTGGTGGAGTTTGCTTATTGCTAAAATGGAATCTTTAGCCAGTGTATTTAAAGTGCCCAAAAGGAGATACTTTTGAGCTAAGAGGAAGGACTGACAACTATTACACCTGAAAAGAAACATTAGAAAGCCTAAAAATTGTTATTCTTGAAAGAATTCTAAACACACCAAATCGGAAATTCTGTGCTTTTCTTCCAATGTGAAAACACTTCCTCCATCTCAAGGTGTCTCCCTTCTCCTTCAGCATATTGCTGTTTTTAGGTGCCCCATTTGGTATTCTGTTCTTCCCTGTAGCAATTCTCCCCTGCCTGTAAGTAATCCTTTTCTTGTTTATTTTCTTAATGAAATGGTAGTATTAAAAGAAGGAATCATTACTTCATTTTAGTCATCTTTAGTCGGCTTCTCTAGCAGCTAGGTAGCATTATGTCTTATTTATTTATCATTAACCAATGAATGAGATGCTTTTGAGGCAAAGTTGCACAATTTGACTGGTAAAGAAACAAGCCCTTTTGCGATTTAGATAAATTATGACTTACATGGACAGTGAAAACAAAAGTAGCCGAACGTGAAGCTCCTGGTGAGCTTTTTGTCTCACATACTAAAAGGAAGAAACCCAAACAAAGGAGCCAGAGGACTGCAGTGCTACTTTTGGGATGCCCTGTGGTCGAGGGGCTGATGCCATGCTGCAGCTATATTCTAAGTGGGTGGGAGGCAGAAAGCCTTACTACCTAGGAAACAAGGAGTCTCACGACAGCTTCTTTCTGGGAGACAGAAAACTGAGCAGCTAGGGTCTTGCCATATCCCCTTACAAGTCTCTTGTGCTCTCATGTTCCGGGAGAATCACCAGTGTTTTCCAAGACTCAGATCAGCTGCAGTTCAAGTCTGGTCTATGCAGATTAGTGCAAGGAGGTCTGGGGCTGTCATAAAGCTGTTTCCTATACTCATTTGGCCCAGAGGAACATTATGTTCTATTTTGACTAGATGTTTAAGATGGCAACGACCAACATTCAGGAAAGAGGCGACATAGTGAAGCACAGAAGGATGGTGTTTCAAAGTGTGTGTTATTGGGCCGGGCTCTTGAAAGAGTGAAGAAGAAAAAACTTCATTGCTGTTTTCATTCACTCTCTTAGAATTGAGAATAGTAAACTAGGATCCCAGGCAAAGAGTAAAATTTTACTGCCTCCACTCTTCATAGAACTAGTAGAAATGATCTCATTTATTCATTTCTCTGTTGTTTTGTTTTTGTAAGTCTCCTAAGGGCAAGGACCTTGTCTGTCTTGTTCACAGTACCCCCCCCCACCTAGTCCTAGGATGCAAAATTTTGCAAAATTTTAACTTTCCTAAGCATTTCTAGTTCATGTAGCCTATTCCCCAACCCCCCTCACCTCCGTGTCAATTAAATATAAAAACTCTTAAAGTAAAATGAAACAAAATAGAAATGCTTTGACCTAGCCCTTAGGGTGACCAAAGAGAGAAAGCTTGGGCAGGGTAAAGCGGGTTGCTGGCAGTGGTGAAGTAGGACAGTAAAAAGGGTGGATTTTTGAAGCCTCTTAAATGAAGAGAAAACCAGCATCAATGTCAGCATGGGTTCTGGGGAGATGAAGTCCCAGTCAGAGTGTAAAAGTAGTGCTATGCGATAAGCTGCTCACTTATTCTCTGATCCAGCAGAGGCCAAAGGTATTTTGGAAAGGACACTTTCATGAAAGAAACAAAAAGCCAAAGCCCGAGGATCTTGGAATGCTTCTGGAAGGCTGGACCTGCACATGTAATGTAGATCTTAAATAACAGGGCTCTTTTGTGTGGTTTCTGATGTCTGACATGTGACTTAGCAAAAGCAGCAATGTGACTAGTCCACAATTCATTCATTTATTCAACAAACATTTGTTGAGTTCTCTATGTACCAGGCAGTCAGCATCCTAGGACTAGGTGGGGGGTACTGTGAACAGACAAGGTCCTTGCCCTTAGGAGACTTACAAAAACAAAACGAAACAAACAACAGAGAAATGAATAAATGAGATCATTTCTACTAGTTCTATGAAGAGTGGGTAGGCTGTGTGGAGGAAAGGCTGAAGATCTGGGCCACAGTGAACCTAAAAGCTGAAGCTAGAAAGGGGAGGCAGTAAACAGACCACGAGGGGCCTTGCAGCCCAATGTGAATAGTTTTTCTGTCTTAAGGCAGTGGATATCCATTGAAGGCCTTTAAGTAGAGAAGCAAAGTGGTCTGGTTTACATTTTTAAATAAAAATCACTTTAACAGCCGTTCTGTGGTATAAAATGCCAAGCCTGAAGTCAGAAGATGACCATGCGCTCAGCAAATGCACTGTGAAATCACTGCCAAATCGCTTGGTTAAAAGACTCATCTAGTTTTTCTGACAGATAAATTGGTCGCAATAAAACTCTGTCGCATAATCACTGGGAGCCAAAAGTTGGAGTCACGCCTTGATTTCAAATCTTGCTTCCCACTTAGTGGTTATGAGCTCTTGGTAAGTTACCCGCGTTGCCTCAATTATCTCAACTGTGAAATGGGGATAAAAGAAATTCCTACCCCTTAGAACTGCTGTGAAAATTAATGATACGTGTAAAGCACAGTGACAGCGCCTGGCACAATGTGGAAAACATTCATATCTATTAGCTTTTATGACTTCTTTCAGCGCATTACTGCGAGGATCACATGAGATAATGCATGTGAAAAGGCTTGTACAACCGTAAAAACTATCTTAGCGGTAGAATTCTCTCTATCCCTTTTCTTTTAAGGGGCTCACAGAACGCTGAGCTATCAAGGCATGAGGCCAAACAGCCTCAAAGCGGTCATTGTGGGCTGCCCACCCCTCCCCCTCCCGTAGCACATCTCCATGGCAACGCGGGGCTTCTCCTCTCCCCGCCTCCAGGGGCTGGCAGACCGGAAGCAGTCCGCACCGGGGGCTTCTGGGAAACAGCTTGTGAGCGGCGTTTCTGCGTCGACCGTGGACTGCGAAGCGGCTGTGGCTCCTGAGCCGGAGGTTTGCACCGAGTGGGGGGAAGGGCGGGAGAGGGACGCTGCGCCAGAGGCTCTGGTCCGCTTGGCTGCGGCCGGCGAAGAAGCCCGGCGGGGACCTTCCGTTGGCTTCCCCGGTGGTGCGGGGCACAGGCCTTGGCCTCTGTGCCCGGCAGTTGGGGGCAGGGAGGCTTGCACGTCAGGCTCGGTCGGGCCTTCGGCCCCCTCGGAGAGCCCTCCATCTCCGGTGTCCTCCGCGACCCTCGCCTCCCCTCCCCCATCGGCTGGTTTTGTTCTATTTCGAGGCCTTGGCGTCCCGCGGAGGGTTCTGGGACTCGTTTCGGGCGGAGGTGGGCGGGGAGATGGCGCGCGGGGCTGCCGGGACTTGTAGTTCCGCCGGCCGTGGGCGGAAGCGCCGTGGCCCCGGCGCTGTGGGAGTTGGGCCCGGGGGGCAGCTGGGGGGAGAGGCGAGGGGACGTCGGGGCGCCGTCTTCGGCGGGAGTGAGGAGAGAGCACCTGGAGCGAGCCTGCTGGCCCCAACGCTGCAGAACCGTGGGCCTTCTCTTTCGGAAAACCCTGCGCGCTCCACGGGCAGGATTCCGTGTGAAAACAAAAGATTTCTTTTCTGTAGGATGCTTGAGCCATTAATGAGGTAGGGTCCTGGCATAGGAATGAACTAATCTGTTGGCTAATCCCTATTTCTAAGGCTTCTCCCCACTCCAGGGTACTTTATTAAACCTGTAGGTATTACTTGTCTGATAGTCTTTTCTGCTTCCTCGTCTTCATCTTGATGTGGTTACAGTAAGTTCTTTGAAATTGTTGGTGTTCTTGTTCTGGACCCTGAATGGATACATTATGTAGTTGCATGGTTCCTTCCTGGTGTGTTGTAATCAATGGCATAGCCATGACTGTGCATATAAATACTAAAAAAAGGATCAGAAGTAGCACAAGATTTCCCTGAAGGTAGAAGCTGGGAAAACTGTGAGTCATCCAGTGTAAGGACACGGTTCTGGTGGTTATAAGAAGTTATGGTGGTTATAAGAGTGCCTTTTCTTCGTAGAATTTGCTGTGATTAATGCCTGTGATTATAAATTTAAATGTAGTTATGGTGTGGTGGGTGACTGAATAATATTTGCATTGTATGAAACCTAGTAGTTAATTTTTCCAGTATTATGTTACCTGTTTATGAAGCCAGTGAATATTTTCTTAAATGCATTTTAAATCCAGGAGGTTCTTGAACATTTAAAAATACTTTTAACTTAAAAAAATCTTGTTAAATTTTTTTTTTAAATAGTTGGCCAACTTTTTTTTTTTTTAAAAGATATTTATTTATTTATTTATTTATTTATTTATTTATTTATTTATTTATACATACAAGCACTGAGTACAGTCAGAAGTGCAGGAGGGTGAGAGAATTCACCAGAGTCAGAGCGGGGAGCAGAGCAGGCAGAAGGACCGAAGTACACTGCTGAGGGGAGCAGCAGGCGGCAGGAGAGGTCTGCGAGCCATGTGGGAGGACATGTGGGACCCTCCTCCGGTGGCTGGGGAGCAGCTGGGGATCAAACCAGCGCTGCAGAGGCGGCGGGCAGCTTCGCAACCCAGCGCTCAACCGCTGTGCCACCGGGAGGCCCTTGTTAAAATTTTTTAAAGCAGGTAGTGAGAAAGTTCTGCTTTTGAGTTTACCTGTCAGAGAACACCAGTCATAAATAATGCATGCATATGTGTTCAGGATCAGATACATTTAGAAAATAGGGAGTAGGGCTCTGTCTTAATTGGAGTCTTGATTCTTGAATAGATTTTGTCCATTTTGTAGGTGAACTTTTTCTGTCAAAGGCCAGATAGCAAATATTTTCCAGGTCATATAGGCACTGTTGAAACTTCTCCTTGGTCAGAGTGAATCCTGAACAAGTTAAATGAATGATTTATGGACACAGATACTTAATTTCCTATAGTTTTCTCATGTCGTGAAGTTTTCCTTTGATTTTTTTTCCAACCATGTGAAATGTGAAGATTGTTCTTAAGTACAAGCATTGTATGAAAATAAGCATCAGGCCAAATTTGGCCTTCTGTTGTAGCTTGCCATTTTCTGGAGTAGGTTATTGCTTGGAATTTTTAATCCAATAAACAGCTATCTTAACTGCCTCTCTTATTGTGTGTTCAAATTCTTGGGATATTTGATTTTTTTTTTTTTTTAATGCCTCAGGAGTGCTTGTGAAGAAAACGGAGTATTTCTCTGACGCCTATATCCTGCTTTGATTTTCTTTTCTTGAAGTATTACACATCAGGATGTCTGCACAGTCAGTGGAAGAAGATTCAATACTTATCATCCCAACTCCAGATGAAGAGGAAAAAATTCTGAGAGTGAAGTTGGAAGAGGATCCTGATGGTGAAGAGGGATCAAGTATCCCCTGGAACCATCTCCCTGACCCAGAGGTTTTTCGACAGCGATTTAGGCAATTTGGATACCAAGATTCACCTGGGCCCCGTGAAGCTGTGAGCCAGCTTCGAGAACTCTGCCGTCTGTGGCTAAGGCCAGAGACACACACAAAAGAACAAATCTTGGAGCTGGTAGTGCTGGAGCAGTTTGTTGCCATCCTACCCAAGGAGCTACAGACTTGGGTTCGAGAGCATCATCCAGAGAATGGAGAGGAGGCAGTGACAGTGCTGGAGGATTTAGAGAGTGAACTAGATGACCCTGGGCAACCGGTGAGCCTGTTGCTTGTGTTACTTAGCTAAGTCAGAAGCAGTAATCAGCAGTAGGAAAAGCTGTGGATTAATACCATTCAACTACGTTAGAATTAACGATGTTTATGCCTTTCCCTTTAACCTCTCCCCACTGCTTCCTAGTATCAGTGTTTTTTTTGCCCTCTAGACCTCAGAAACATGTGGGGTTTTTTTTTTTTAATGTTTGTTTAGTTCTAATTCTTATCAGATTTACTCTCAACTGAACCAGACTTAATTCTATTTTCAGGTATCTCTCCGACGACGAAAACGGGAAGTACTAGTAGAGGAGATAGTGTCTCATGAAGAAGCTCAGGGATTACCAAATTCTGAGCTCGAAGCTGTGGAAAACCAACTCAAGTGGGCATCCTGGGAGCTCCATTCCCTAAGGCACTGTGGTGAGGATCACAATTCCATGTGGGCTAGAGGGTGAAAGGGTATTGGCCTTTTGTCTAGTACTTTGCTTATTCTCATCCTGAATGTGGGGATAAACACCTTAACCTGATTGCTTCACCTTAGGCAACTGTGGGATCTTGAGTCTTTGCTCATCACAGTTCATTTTTTAATCTTAGGTCTTTTGTTCTCTTAGATACTAACATCCCTCAGTGGTTTCTTCCCTTTTACCTCTTTCTTGAAGACCTGCCTGTTTTGACTGAGCCAACATCTACCTCCTGATCACGTTCTCTATTTTGCGTACAATTTGCCATCTGTGTCACAGCTTTTCAGGTCTAGCCTAATCTTACTGTTATAATAAATTTACATAAAGCTTCTTCGGAGTCTTTCTAAATTTTTAGGTATTTTTGGTTTTTGTTCCTCATCTTTCTCTCATTTCTCTGCCACCCCCTCCCCCCCAGCTTCTTTTATACAAATGATACTTGGGTAAAACTCTCAACCTTTTATAAAGTATTTATGTAAAAATAGACTCCCTAGTTATAATATGTTTTACATACATAAAAATTGAAAGTTCATAATTGTGGTATTCACTTGTCTTTCTCAACATGTTAGCAATTGATGCTATGTACTTGTATACTTTGCTATAACTCAATGTGTTCCTAAAACTCCTCCACTTTTTCTTTCATCTTTATGTAAATTAAAATAAAATTTCTTTGCCACTTCTTTGGGAATTGTTCTTTGAGGTAATTGGAGATAATGCTGGTGTGCCACGGGATGAGGTCTGATTAAGTAGGTTTTTCTTTCCATTAGAGGGGTAGTAAATCAGAACTTTTGGCTTTGGACTAAAGTCTGAGAATGTACAATTTTACATTTTCTCATGGGACATTCCTCTGTGCAATAAAGTTTTTGAACCACTGTTCATAGTCTTTGGAGGTGACATTTTCTTTAGTGGAAAACTTGCCCCTTGCCTGAATTTTAGAATAATTTTCACCTGATTTTAAATAGTCTCATTTCAGCAATATAGTCCTTACTAGGGAAAGTCTTTCTTTGCTGTTTGTCTCAACTTAATCTTCACACTTAATTTTCTTCTTTGTTCTTTAAGTCTCCAAGCCCCACTAGTCGCCAATCCTTCCGTCTCTGTTAGCCTTCTTTCCTGACTTTATCCTTTTCTTGATTGTTTATTAGTAAGTTTGTTCACTGTTTTCCACTTTCTGAGTGCTGATGCTTACCTTTTAGTAATTGTTTTTACTCTTCAAGGATTGAAGTTGCAGGAAATTCTTAAATGAGACTTGCTCATACCTCTACCGCAGGTTGGTGATTATACCTCATGTTGGTAATTCAAGGTTTTAGTCTATGAAACACATCTGAGGCTTAGCAATAACAACTCATCTGAAGTACCACAGAAGTACCAAAATAGCAAGCTTCTCACTGGAAAACTTTTATTCTCTAAGGGTGTATTGAATTTTAAGTGTTATGTCCTGAGTTGATGCAGGATGCTACAGCGTATCTTTAGCCCCTTCTTGTTAGGAGACCTGTGTTCTGCTTTCAGTCTAATCTTTGCTATGTTTGCCTTGTTCTGTTCATTTCAGAAATAGTAATTTTCTGGCAGATTGCTTATTTTCTGCATCATTGTACCTTGATATAGTTTCTCTTTTACAAAACAAAAGAATAGTATAATTTCCAAAGGACCAGTTTTCTTTTTTCTTTTTACAAAGCTGCATCACTTTGTCATTCTAATGGTTTTAGAGGCTTCCATGTTTCTGTCCTTTGTTTTCTGATTACACTGTTTAACCTACTCACAGTACTGCTTATTTACATATAACCTTTTAATCCCACATTGTTAAGCCATTACTTCATTAGCCTCATAGTCAGTTGATTCACCTTTTCTCTTTGAGAGTAACAACCTTACCATCAGTTTTCAGAGTGTTTCTAGATGTAAGCAAGCTATTTGTTTTTTAAAATTTTTCTTCAGATTCTTTTCTCCCAGAGTGGGAAACAAGTGATAATTACATTTTCTATTTATTTCAGATGATGATGCTAGGACTGAAAATGGAGCACTAGCTCCAAAGCAGGAAATTCCTTCAGCAGTAGAATCTCATGAAGTTCCTGGCACTCTCAATATAGATGTTCCTCAGATTTTTAAGTATGGAGAAGCCTGTTTCCCCAAGGGCAGGTTTGAAAGAAAAAGAAATCCTTCTCGAAAGAAACAACATATATGTGATGAATGTGGAAAACACTTCAGTCAGGGCTCAGCTCTTATTCTTCATCAAAGAATCCACAGTGGGGAGAAACCCTATGGATGTGTTGAATGTGGAAAAGCATTCAGTAGAAGTTCCATCCTTGTGCAACATCAGAGAGTCCATACTGGAGAAAAACCTTACAAATGTCTTGAATGTGGAAAAGCCTTTAGCCAGAATTCTGGGCTTATTAATCATCAGAGAATCCATACTGGGGAGAAACCTTATGAATGTGTTCAGTGTGGGAAATCCTATAGTCAAAGCTCAAATCTTTTTAGACATCAGCGAAGACACAATGCTGACAAACTTCTGAATGTTGTGAAAGTTTAAGAAATTAAAAAAAAAAAAATCAGCACTCAGGTCTTTTTCTTCAGAAATGAAGACAAAATAAACAAAATGATTCATGATAGTTTTATTTCCCTATAGACTGCTAGAAAATCCACAGGGAAATATAGAAAATTGTCACCCACCATTATTACTTTATCTTGAAAGAAATGGTGTCATACCTGCCTAGAAACTGAAAATTTAAACTTAATTCAGGTGTTAATGCCTAAATATTCCATGTGATGTTTATATTCTTATTATTTTTCCAAATAATGAACTACTTTATTATTTGTCCCTTTCTTAAAAGTTCCCCTTTTTAGACAGATACATTATATCTGTGTTGATCATTGAAGTGTTTTTTGCAAGGATACATTCTCTTTTACCTTAAAAGGCAACATTAGAAATTAGAAAGTCTGAAAACTGAAACCATTTCTTCAAAATGTACCCTTTTGTTTCTTTTTACCTAATCTGAATATGTATTTCAGAAAAATAGAAGATAAAGGATGACTAAAAGCCTCAAAGTAAAAATGAGCCTTAACACTCAGATAAGTGATGGTGATTAAACAGCAACAAGTGAATGGGACGTCTAGATTGGGGAAGATACGTAAATTCTTCTATCCAAGAGTTGAAGTATATCAAGAATTTACCTAGCTTAATTGCCTGCAAGAAAATTAAAAACACTCATCTAATTTGGAGGCATCTCACTAATGAAAATAATGCTTTCTCTTCATCATTAGAAAGTGAACTAACAATTGTGAAACTATGGAAGCAGAAATTATGACACTAGGGAACAATTTATACTGAATGGCAGTGTTAAAGGGCAATTATAATAGTCTGTTTTGGCTTTTAGAAAACAAGACTTGATCTAAATCATTTCACCCTTATTTTTGTTAAGGACAGAAAACTGACAGGTGGGCAAAAAATCAGGTTTGTTATTTTATTATTTTGGTACAAAGGGGTTGAACACCAGGCTAACAGTAATCATGCATTTATTAAACACTTCTCTACCGACAAGGCACTGTGCTAGGTACTGTAACCCTACCACAAGTAGGTAGGTATTTCTTCCACTGTAAATCATTGGAGGGTTTGGTACAAAGCTAATTTCATATGAGTTAGCCTCTTTCCCTTGTCTGAGCAGTCCTGGGAGAGGTCATCTCTGAAATTCCCAGAGCCATAGTTCTTGTGCCAGGGTGTTGTATTTGGGGGAGAGGAAGACTCAGTTCAAAGAGCTAGCCAGCCAGCTCACCAGGATTCTGCAGAGGTTGAGTCTAAGATAGTCTCTACCACAGTTTGGAGGTTTGTGGGTCTTTTAAAAAAAATAATCAGTCTTTAGTAGCATTGAAGTTACACTTAACATGTTAAGTTAAATGAATTGTTCTATTTAAAAAAAATAACTAGGTTATTAACAACTAGTTTATTAACTATGAAAATTGATTGAACTATTTTTTGATTTTCAGTCTTAACACATTTTTTAAATGTATAAAAGTAATACATTGTAGTAGTAGTATTATATACTCTTTGGCTGAGAATCCCAAGTACTGTTGTTCTACTGTTTAGTGGAAAACTCTGGAAGCTAAAATAAAGACTTTAATAGTGGGCATCATTATGTGGAAGATGGTCCATATAAGTATTTCATGGTTCTAGAGATTTTGGGGTTACATCTGGAGTTTGGATCAAATTTAAAAAAAAAATTGAAGGTGAGCTTTGCATGGGCCTGTTAAAAAGTATAGTAACACATGCAAGGCCAGCGGGTAGAGAGTAAGGCAGAATGGAGCTTGTTTATAGAATTTTCTGATAACAATTATAAGAAATGTGCTTTATAGATTAAGATTTATTGAAGTATAAATATGTAGTAATGTTATAATGTATTAAGTTATACAAGAAAATGTAGGGACTTTTGTTGGGGTCTTTTCTCTTTGTGGCTGAGAGGCAACAAGTTAATGTCCAATAAAGCTATAAACTCCTCCGTTCTAATATAAAATGATCTTGAGTTGATTTATTTATAACTGGTTTCTTTCCAAGTAGGTTTTGAGGTGACATATTTGAAATACCACTGGTATGACTGAATTCTTGTATCAGAGTAGGTAAGAAATCAGCAATCTCTTGGAATTTCATGTTCTTTTAGTTCTTGCATATTTCCTGTATACAAAGAAGCTTCCCTGTGGTAGATTTATCATAAATGCCAAAGAAGTTTGGTATAATGTGATAGCTTAGAAAAGTAGCATTAGAGTTGGGAAATATGCGTGACTCTTGTCAGCTCTGATACCTTTGCATTGTTCGGGAAGAATTTTGAGGCTAAGGCCAGGCTTTGTAGGGAAAATGAACTGGACCCAAAAAGACTTGATGATGGTACATGGGAAAAGTAAGGTAGAAGTCTGTGTACTAGCTGTTTCTGGTTAGGTTAAATCTCCATTGTCTCCATTAGAAAAATTGATTTAAAATAAATGTTCAGTTATTATGATTTATTCTAGGCTTCTATTTAAACCCACACATATAATCATAGCAGTTCTGGGAGGAAACTAGTCTGATGAGGTGGTGATCTTGCAGGTGTCAGGCGGTGGCCTCTGGTTAGTAAAAGAGCAGTCATTGTTAATGATTAAGCATGTATACTGCTGATACCTCCCCAATAGCCACTGAATGTTTGCTTTTATTGCTAAATATTCTCCAGGTTTTCTTGGAGGCTAATCTCCCCATCTTTATATCCAGTTGGCTCTTGCGATCATTTAGCGATATATTTCTCACATTTATGTAAGATGAAGGGAAGGTTATATGTATTGAAATAATCTGCATGTCAGATATTGGATTAGACACTATGCCTATCCCACTTAGATTTGTAGACTAGGAAAGTAAGATTCAGAGATTGTGTGACTTGCATGTGGCCAATTAGTGCTGAAACTCGAGTCTAGTTCTGTGAACTCCAGGGACACATTTTTTTTTTTTTACTATGCCATGAGTGATGGCAGTTAAAACCTTGATCAATAAATTTTAAGCTTTTATCTTTTACGGTTAACAAATGTGAAAACTATTAAACATTCTTGTTGGGATTTTCTACAGTACAAAAATGTAAAATGAAAAAGTACATTCCTTCTCACAGTCTTTAACTCAGAAGTAAGGCATATACATATTTAAGCAAAAGTGTTAATAGCTAACACTGTGGTCGTTGTACATAGGCACTGTTTGAAGCGCTTTACCAAGGACTAACAATTTTCACAATGACCATATGAGGTAGGTACATATCCCCATTTTACATGTACTACACTGAAACTCCTCCCCTCCTTCACACTGTGTGTGTAATCCTGGTTACATCCTATTCCATTGCATGAATATGCTGTTATTTATTTGGCCAGCCCCTTATTGCTAGATAATTAGGTTCTTTATATTTTTTTATTGTAGTTAATATCCTTGTGCAAACATTTTGCTGCCTGTGTGAGTATTTCTATAGGATAAATAAGCTGGAAGTGGATTTGTTGGGTCAGACAATGTGCACATTTAACATTTTGAAATACCGCCAAAAGAGTATGTGAATTTATAATTCTATCAACAGTAAGAGTGCCTGCCTACATCCCTACCAACTCTGGATCCTTAAATATTTTTATCAATCTCATAGGCAAAACTTATCTCTTAATAAGAAGGAACATAATGTTTGACTATTTGCATTTTCTGTTGTGAATTTTTTGCCCATTTTTAATTATGAAAGTATAAATATCTTTTCTTGTGCAAAACTCAGATTATTCACAAGCATAAGAGTGAAGAGAAACCGTTTTCTCCAGCACCTCCAGTTACATTCCACTATCCTTCTAGTCCCCTTTCCATACATTCTATGTGAATATACATACACATAAATGCTGTTTTTACATTATTAGTAAGATCACACATGTATTATGCAGGGTGTTTTTTTTTTTTGGTCTCGAAAGCATCTTTAAATTGCATCAGTGGTAGAATAGGATTCAATACTATGACAGCACCATTCCCTTATTTTTCTATTACATTGCTTAAGTAGACATCTTTTTCATGTATCTTTGTGCTTGTGTGAATATTCCTTTAGGACGGAGTAGTTTAAGCGGATTGTTGGGTCAAATGGTTTGTTTTTTTATAGACCCACCTTCCCAAGGGCCTTTATATTTTCACCAGCTATATGGAAAGTGCTTGTTTCCTCATATAGCCTTACCTACACTTGATAGTTTTATCTGATGGGCAAAAAATAAAAAAATCCTTACTTTGCATTTCTCTCATTATGGCGAGATTAAGGTTATTTTCATGTTTATTGACCATTTATATTTTGCCGTGGATTGTTCATATCCTTTACCTGCTTTTCTGTTGGGTTATATGTGGAAATGTGTTGTTTTTGTTCAGCATCTCTTTCCCCTCTTCTGGTAACAACTTTTATTTTTTGTGGGGAACCCATTCGCTGTGGCTTAGTGAATACCTGACCAGGCCCGGCCTTCCTGAGTCCCGCAGCAATTAAAAAATGGGCATGTAACTCAAGTCAGGCTAAAGAGCCCTCAACAGAACTTCTGCTGGAACTCTTGGAAAGAAAGCTCTACCTACGGAGATCCCAAGAATTAAGGACTGTGTAAGCCTGAATTTGTACCTTGTGGAGAGTCTGAGGAGAAACTCAGAGACTAGCAGAAATGAAAGAGAACTAAGTTCAGATGTCATTTTTCTGGAGGCCCTAGATCCAGCTGTGCCTAATGCCTGCCCTACCTCTGGACTTTAAAAGTTTTGTGAGCCAATAAAGTCCCTTTCTTGTTTAAGATAGTTGAATTGGGTTTCTGTCCTGATTAATATAGGTTATTTGTATTTTCTTATGATTTGTAAAAAACTTTGTAATTTTAAATTCTAGACATATACTTTATGCACTATATAGGTAAATAAAATTAGTACGGCCTTCCATGATTTGGCCTCTGTCAACCTCTGCCATTTTGTTACTTTTTATGCCACACACCACACATGTTTTATATTCCAACAATTACTAGACATTGGTCTGTGCAAGAAAAGCTTTACCCACAATTATATCCTTTATAGTTCCTATCCTTCCTACAGATTAGTTATCTTGGGACCCAGACTAGGGATTATACTCCACTGCTAAATCAGTGCTGCCTTCGTCTCTAACCATTGGTTTTGAATATTCCCCTTAAGCATACCTCCTTGTATGTGAACTATGGAGCCCCTCTCCATCTCCTCCAACATGGTTCTGTGGGATCCTAGTTTTAATCTCAGAACTGTGAATTTGAGGTTGCTCAGACCCAAAATTGTTCTGAGGTTTACATCATTTTCTGTGTGTGGA